CTCGTCGGCGCTCTGACGAGAGACTCCCGCTACCGCTACCTCCGATTCAGATGACTAGCCAGATGCACCTCCAAACACCTCTCGTGGAGCCTGCCCAGATCATGCCTAGCTGGTCTAAGCGGACATCGTCGACCGACGTGAAACTAGCCAAGGGCGAAGGCGTCGTTGCTCCCAGCGCACGACGGTCTGGCGGCTCGGGTTCAGGCTCAGGAGCCAGTTCACCCCGTACGGCAGTGGATGATGCCAAAGGCAAATCAGAGGCGGCCATTACGGCGGAACGGGGAAGGAAGGCCGAAGAGCTCCAACGGGCCAATGCCCAGTTGGGGCAGATCTTCGGTATTGCATAGGTTGGAACATTTCTGAAGGGCCCATTCACCACTCTTTGAGGTCGCAGGCTATCGGAAGCTGAAGGACGGAATGGGATGATGAAGAAGGACGAAGAAGAACAAGTGAAAGGGAGAAGGAGAAGGAGCATGGAATATGGAACCTGGAACATGGAAAGAAGAACAAGAAGACGAAAGAAGAAGAAAGAAAGAAGGCAGGAAGTCATTACAACGCATTACGACTCTTTGATATTTTTACATACATACTTACATAGCTATCAAAAGCAAAGCAAAGCACTGAAACTGAAACTCTGCATGGCGATCGTTTTGTCCATTTGTGTTTTTTCTTTCTATTTTCTCGCAAGATACCACACCACCTATTATCCTGACAAGATTGTTTTATACTGTACAAATGTGTCTGTTCATACATACGTATATATCGCGAAGGATAAGGATAGGGGTTGAAGACGTTTTGTAAAGTTTGTATCATATTATATGTATATGCACCTTTGGTTTAACATCCCTGGGAGCATGCTATTAGGACATGATCAATTACTGAAGAAGTACATGACGGCTTTACATAAAGAACACCTCGTGCTATTTTTTTTTGGCTGTCGATCACAAGTGAGGAATCACATAAAGTGAATCACATGAAGTCTACTTATGGATACGAAAGCGAAGCTGAAATATACATTTATAGTATGTGATGAGATTGAATGGAAGGCAGGAATGAACAGTCAGGTCTATCGTTAGATACTGAGTCGCCTTGAATGAAAAGTTATTTATTGCTCACCTCTCTACAGTATTCACATGTAATACTAGTACTGCATGTATCTTTCGTGCACAATCTGACATGTCCAATGAAGAAGTTGGTAATTAGTGTTTTCTCTTACTCTTGGGATGAGCAGGAAAAGCTGTGATTGATCGCAATTGTGACGAAGGCAGGTCATCAGGTTCTAGCTGAGAACGTAAACGTGAAAGTAGTGGTGGTTGTGTTGAGCGTATCTGTCGCCTTGATGATGATCCTGCTTTTGAAGCGGCATGATCTCGAGATGATGATTCTGCTTTTGAAACGACATGTCCTCTGGATGATGATCCTGCTTTTGAAACGACATGTCCTCTGGATGATGATCCTGCTTCTAAAACGACATGTTTCCTCGATGACGATTCTGCTTTTGAGACGACATGTCCTCTGGATGATGATCCTGCTTTTGAAGCGAAATGGTCTCTCGATGTTAACTTTGAAGCGATTGTATCGTCAAAGCCTATTCGCAAGCTATGGCCGTGACTGTGGCCGTGACTGTGGCTGTGACTGTGACTGTGTTTATGAACTAGTGTTGTCCTCGACTTGACGGTATATGCGTGTCGTGAATCATCATCCGACGACCAGAGTTCTTCGGTGAAGAATAATGGTTCGACCTTCTCTCGAAGCCTAGTCCGAGAATCAGTCCCTCGTTTCTTGTCTTTGTGCATCGTCGTCGTCCCACTCTCCCTTGATCTCATACTTTCGTGATAGGTACGGTCGTCTCTTGAAGAGCGATGTCCATGTATATTGTTCGTGTCTTGGTCAAGGGATCGTTCTTTTCGTTTACGTTGATTTATATCCATATGACCAGACTGAGCCGGTATAGTTGTTGATCGGGTCTGGGATTGCGTAGGTCTATGAAGAGACGACCCCGATGTCGATGTCAATGTCGGGACTGCTGGTCGAGAAGCGAAGGCAGACGACGTGGAAAGATCCGTTGTTCTGATGTGAGAATGAGCAGGTTTAGTTCGGCGATGCTTGTCCTTGATGATGGTGGTGGTGGTGGCGCTCGTCTTACCAGCTCGAGGTTGCAAGTCAGCAGACATCGTAGTCTCTGATACAGTGGCGTAATCGACCAGAGCTGCATCAAGTGTTCGAAGATCTTCAGGCGGGATTAACGATAGCGCCTCGTATAGAGCTTGATAATCTTCTTCATCTTCGTATACTGCCTGCTCGCCCTGCTTTGAAGATGTAACTTCAGGAATGGGCACCGTCACCAATTTTGAGAACGTCTCTGCTGGATCGTGCAAGTTGGCTTGCACTTGATTCTGCAGACAAACATCGAGTAGCGAGGTATAATCGACAGCGCTTTCCCCAAAGCCAGTCTCCTCCATCTCGACAGCGCTGTCTTCTGCACGGGACTCCTTCTCGTTGAGTAGTGAGCTGTCCGATGACTCGACCGGACGCGCTAGTTCTGAACCTGCTATGTCATGTGTTGGTGTCGTCACTGACAGTCCTGACGGAGTTTCAAGACTCCTTGTGGCCACTACAGCTTGTTCAGGCGATGCAGGGACGAGCACAAATGCCTCCGACGGCGTCGTTGAGCGTTCTCTTGTAGCATTATGGGAATGTATCACTGTTCGCGGTGCAAGTTGACTGGTTATGCCTAGCGCAACCAGTGCTTCACGAGTCGCATACTGTTTCTGGGATTAGATCAAGCTATGCAGTCGGATTTCTTTGTTGACCCACCTTGAAGACGAAACGTACCCAAGGATCTGCCCCTTCAATTGATTCGAAACGACTTTCAGCGCAAGTGACTTGCTGCACCGCCATGCTTGAGACGCAGCGTTTAACTGTCAATCGGACAGGAATCAGCCCATTATAATATGTAAGCTGTCGATGATCAGCTGATCAAGCGTGCAAACTGCGGCGGCCAGCTGACTATGGAATCACAGTCCAATCCTGTATCAGTGGGTTGATTATCCACCCGATCAACTGCGCCATACAGTGTCCCTCGCCATATATCCACCTTGATCTCCCCCACTACCTCCTTCGCACATCCATCAAGCAGTACAGCTTCCCCATCTTCGCCTCTTCCTACCTGGACACCGCATCAGCTCTTCCAATGATGATACGAGAGTAGAACCTACCTCCCTGGAGAGGATCATATCATACTCTCCCTTCTCTCCACTTGTTGCACTGAAAGTAGTATGCTCGACAGTCTGTCTGGACCCTGCTTTGAGGAACGCGGTGCATAACGGTCTACCGTCAATCTCAGGATCGCTCATCAAGTCGCCTTGATAGGCCTGATTGTCTGGGCATCGAACGATAAGGGACACTCTCTGCCCTCGGATCAGCTCGTGTATTGGTGAGTACTGAGACACCTACAGAATTGGTTGGTATCTCAAGATAGCTTGTGTACGTTGCTGGAGATCGATGGGTTGGCTTGGAAAATACCTCGAGGTGCTCCACTAGGATCTCTCAGTCTTGACCAAGTCTCAGTGACTCACAGAGACTAATCCCATCATACTGTGCAAAAACCTCGCATCCATCAGCTTGCTCTAGACGCTCGAAGCTAGCTGACCTCAAGATGGTTGTACTCTGGGGATGCCCGCATGTCAGGTGATCCCAGCCGACCAGCAAGAAACCGTCATGAAGGATGAATTACAGACACCAGCTACATGGACGATTGAAAGAGAATGATTCGAATGCGGGTCTTCGGGTACGAGGGCACGGACGTAAAGGTGGAATTAAATGTCAAGCCATCTCTTGGTCAGCCAATGTCAGAGGATTGTGACGAGATCAGGTGTCCCACTTCACGGTCAAAGAAATGTGAGCCAACATTTGAGGACGACTTGATGAGATGGGGTACACGTTATGTCAGATTATCAGACGACGGTACGAACTAATTGGTTATCATGAGAACACGCAGATGAACACTGTCACATTAGCACAACATTCCCATGCCACGCTTTCACGAAGGTATTAATTCATTCATTTATGCACATGTATACACTCGCCCCCTTGTCATCGTTTGCGAACCGGTATCATTGTCTTTCCTTTGATCCCATTCAGCCTGTTCCTAAAACAGGCGAGTTGGCTAAACCCAAGGAACGGAGTGAAAAAGAAGGCTTACTTCATTGAGTCATCTCAATACTTCAGAATCTGTATGTTGGGTCAACATGTGTCGTAAGGAAACACGGAGAGTGGAGATAGACATACGATGTAGAGAGCGTGGATGATACCAGGGATGTAACCAAGAACTGAAGGAAAGAAACGTCAGTATTGAAGGGTGGAGATTGGTGGAGGAAGATAACGAACTGGTCAACAGCTACGACGCCCATTAGCAATTTTCAACATACATAACACGTTGATTAGTACTCACAATGTTGATGAGGAAATCAACGTTACATCCACGCTCAAGGAAGACACCAAGAGGAGGCAAGAAGACTACACGTAACCATCAGTACGACAGTTTAAAGAACACCTTCCTCTTCCCACCGTCCACATGCGTTCATGCCGTGTGAAGGAGTCAGTCACTCACTCGCAAGAATGATCTTGAAGATGTCAGAGCAGGTGAAAGCCATGGTGAATGTTTGTGGTTTGTGATTTGCTTTGGTGAGGGAAAAAGAGGTGGCAATGAGATGTGAAACTTCAAAAGTCGTGTTGTCAAAAGCAGCTTTTATTATGTCTACCCAACTGCGGTGTTATTCAGTCTCGTACGTCATAGGCGGCCACGTGAGTTAAAAATTCAACCCTGAATCTGGTTCTGTCGTTACGAAGAATTTGTTAGTAAGACGTGCAACATGCTTGTACATCATATTACCGAAATAGAGAACTCTCACCTAAGGCAAAATTCATCAATGTCACCGAGCACTGCAATAAGTTCTCCAGATGCCCCAAAACAAAAAGAAACATCCAAAAATCCGTTCAACTCCCTACGGGGTTCGAACCCGTGATCTTTGGATGTTCAAAATTTAGAAGTCCAACGCCTTACCGCTGGGCCAAGGGAGCTATGTAATTTCCCACGCTTGATCCAGGTGGGCCAATATTATATACGTCTATCTTATCTGTCATTGGTGGTATAGTCAAAGTAATGTCGCACAGATACTGTCTCTTTCGTATCAGCAAGATCTGCCGAGAGTCGTGCGTTGTTGTCGGAGAGCTTTTTGAGCTCCTGGTTTGTGACCTCGACTGCGGGTCTTGGCAACGTAGCCCGACAAGTCGAATTCCTAAGTCATCGGCGGACGCTTGGTGGTTATCGACGGAGATGAGTTGGAGCGAGTGAACAAGGAAAAGCAAGAGGTATATCCTGCGTGGTTATCGACGGACGCTTGGTGGTTAGGCTGATCGATACTTCTCGGATGCGATATAGATTGCGAGAAGGGCTTCGACCTGCTCAGTGCATCTTTCTAGGTCGGCTGATCAAGGAAGGAGCTAATATCGGTAGTGGTGTTGAGATGAGCTTGAGACGTCGAGGTGTTTCCGCGTGATCGAAGAGGGACGACTGATGATTGGCTCATGCTGCACTGCTACAAAGGCGACGGCATTTGGCTCAAGGCAAAGGAAGCCACATCACCTCTTGCAGGTTTCCAATGGACAGTACGGGCCACCTTCCTTCGATATCTTCAGCATGTGCAGAGGACAGAATTACTGATTGGACACATGACTAGCGAGAGAGAGAGAGAGTAGAGGGAGGTATCCCCAGTATGTCACCCTAGTGGCTCCGAAAGTTTGTGAGCAGGGCAGGTATTGCGGAGATGAAAGAAGCCAACGAAATGTAAGAGGACGATGAAGTATCGCTTGTATGCTGGCACTCGTTGTCTCAGCGGCGAACGATTGATCAAACCTCTTTCCGCGACGGTTGAAGGACCACAGACGCAATCATTCCGGCGGATTGGGAGCGCAAAATCCGCTTGGTGGATGTCAAGAGTCCGACGCGCTAAAGTTCTCTGGCCCTACCTAACAGTTGTTCCGTAGGACTTGGTCATCAGGTTGTTGAGAGTAACGACTAGCTGACTACGCGAGGTCCATGGTCGAATGTTGAGGTCAGATAGAATAGGTGCTCTAGCTCGATTGGTGGGGACTGGAATCCTTTAGGCCTGCCCAAGGTGGATCATCGCCCTC